TCTCTGCTTCGTGGGGACAGAAGACTGGGGAGGAGGCCAGAGTGGGGACAAGGAGGCCCGTGAGGAAGCTGTAACAAGACTGTCATCCTCTGGCGAGAAGGGAAATTGAGGTGCAGAGAAGCCCAGTTTCTTAACCAAGGCCACGCAACCACGGCGCAGGCCCATGCTCTCAATCCCACGCCCTCAATCCCTTTGCTTTGTTGTCACACTGGAAAAGATGTGATATTCATGCAGAAACTATTTTGGGGGCATTTGCTCTGTGCCAGGTGCTGTTCTAGAACATGGGTCAGCAAACTACAGCCCGCGGGCCCAGTACGGACTGGGACTTGTTTCTGAATGACCTTTAAATTTAAAGTGGTTCTTCCAGTCCTGAAGAGTTGTGGAAACAAAAACCAACCAAAGCAGAATACGCGACAGACGGCACGAGGCCCGAGAAGCCTGGAACGTTTACTCTCTGGCCCTTCACGGAAAACGTCTGCCGACCGCTCTTCTAGAATGCCAGTGGCAGAGCAGGCCCCTGTGCTTGGGGGCTTGCTTCTTAGTGGGTGCACCACATAAGGCTCTTTAGGGGTCGTGCAGAGCGTGGTCTGTCGCTTCTGCGAGGGTGACCCAGGACTTCATGGAGGTGGCCCTCTAAGACCTGGAAGGATTTGGACGAGCAGAGGGACCCAGCCCAGGGCTGTACTTGATTCTCTCAGCGCAGGGCGCTCGTGCCTCCCGGTGGGCGTTCTAGCCTCTGTTTAATGGTTCAGAGTTTGCAAGTTATAAATTCAGTTGCCCCCATAGCGTGTTTATTTGAACAGAACTTGTGTTCCCTAATAAAATGCAGAGAACATGCTGAAATGGCATTTATGCAGTAGACGCCACGGTTTGAGAAATCCGTGAGTCTGCTTTTCCTGTAACAATCCAGGAGGAGAAAAATGGGAGAGCAAGATTGCTTCTTTCTGGGCAAGTGCGAGTTTTATTATCAGTGGTATAATAATAATAGTTGATAAGAAAATTGTTATGGCTTTTTAACATGCAAATCGTTACAAATAGCCCGTCATTCTTAGTTACATGCACTGGCGAGTAATAATCGCTCGACTTTCTTGGATATTTCGAGTTCCCTCGAGTGTGTGTGGCTGGGAGAAGTGTGTGGTTTGCGTTCATCCCCTGCCCGGGAGAGGAGCCTGAGAGCTGCGGTGTTTGTTCTTGCTCGGTTATTCAGGAGGGGTTGAGGGAGACTGAGTACGTGACAGCACTGGAGGCACAGGAGGGTGGGAGGCAGAGCCTGCCTCAGGAGGCCCCAGTCCAGCTGGAGACCAGACATGACATGGCTTTCTGCACAGAGGACACGGCTCTGGGAGACGCTGGCCCAGAACTAACCATTTGAATGAGTTCAAGTCTGGGCCACAGTCTCAGGACTGCAAGAAATATCCATTCTTGGTTTTTTGTTTTTTTCTGAGGAAGACTGGCCCTGAGCTAACATCCGTGCCAATCTTCCTCTATTTTGTATATGGGACACTGTCACAGCACAGCTTGAGTGGTACGTACGTCCATGCCTGATCAGAATTTGGATCAGGTTCTGATCCAAATCAGAACCCTGGGCCCCTGAGCAGAGCGCATGAACGTCACTTCTGCGCCACCAGGTCGGCCCCCTTCCTTCTGTTTTTTAAGCTGAAGTAGCTCGACCTTCAGCTCTTCTCTCTGAACTGATGGGGCATTCAGCGTGGGCTGTTACTGGCCTTCCTCACCTGCAAAAGAGCCACGTGATGTGGCTCTGTGACCAGGACATCCTGGTGGCCTTGGCACACTAACTGTCCGACCATGCAGTGCCTAGAGAGCAGGGCAGCAGCAGCCCTGGCTCCGGGCTGGGACCCGTGGCGGCCTGGCTCCCGTCGTCCCAGGCTCGACACGAGGCAGGACATTCTGGGTCCTGTCTCATCTCTGGAATCGGGCCTGTTCCTGGTCAGAGCAGGACCTGTGGACATCTGGGTCCTGGATCCTCTCTCCTGTCCTTGCCAGCAGAGGTGTTCTTGGCATAACTGCTGTCTGTATGTGTTTGGAGCCCATGGTATACAAGGGCTACCTGGGGGCCTGGGGCGTGGGTAAGATGCCAGTGAGGACCTCGAGTTGTCCTGCTGCACACACGTCTGGGCCCACCTCTGTGCCGCAGGCTCTGCTGAGCCCTGACTCTGTGCAAACCACAGGGGGATCACTTGGGAGGCGTGGCTGGCCAGAGAGGGCTGGGAAGCTTCCCCAGGATCGCTACAGGAGGCCAAAGGCTGTTCCAGCCAGAGCCCAGCAGTGGGGGATGTGCAAGGGCTGTGCCGGTGGGGGCAGCCTGGAAGGTCCCAGAATGAAAGCAGAAGGGGAGCGAGGACTGGGGGGGTGCCCTCATCCTCCAGGGGGTTTAAGGAAGGCTTCCAGGCAGAGCGACCTCTGACCCAGACTTGAGAGATGCAGAGCCAGAGGGCTCCAGGCAGGGACCTTGGAGAGGATGCAGGAAAGGTGGCAGCCGTGCCAGAGGAGGCTCCAAGGTCGTAGGACTTTGACTGCAGCCCCCAGGCTCCAACACGGGTTCTCCTGTGAGCAGGCAAGCATCGGAGGCCCTGCGGGCTGTGGACACGCAGACTGCTGGTCCACCTGGAGCGTCTGATGCAGAGGGTCTGGGGTGGGGCCGAGAATCTGCATTTCTGAGCCATTCCCAGGAGATGCTGATCCTGCCGGCCTGGGCCCCACTTTGAGAACCACTGATCCAACAGCAGGCCCACCTGCTCTCAGGAGGTTTCTGGTTTTCTAGCTGGAATATAAGCTCTTTAATCATTCACTCTACTTGACTCTCATATTTTAGGGATGCATTTAACTTTTCAAAATTTTAAGATAAAGGAAAACTGTGTAAACTAGATAAATTACGACTATTCTCCAGACATTACAGACATTCAGAGCAGCGTTTCCCTCTTCTACCTTTAAGGACTTCCAGAAGTGCCTGAGGAGTGAGGTGATACGTCCACATCTGTGAGCCTTGAGGTCCCAGGCTCCCCAGACAGCGGGTTCAGTGCCCATCCCGCCGTGCCCGCCTTCGGGGTGTCCTCCTGGAGGCGCCAGTCATTGGGAGCAGGGACCGGGGAGGGGGAGTGGATTCTGCGACGCAAGTACCAATTTACTGGGGAACCTTCAGTCCTATTTCTAATTTGCCTGGCTTCTGTCTCGAGGGAGGCTGCACAACATTATCTGCTTTTACGCACAACTGACCGGGACTGTTCTGAACCACCAACCTGGGAATGACGTCCCCACGAGACGCCTCTTGGTTTCCGCCAGGTTCCCGCTGGAGGCTGAGCCTTGTCTCACCCCGAGGCCAGAGTGCAAGGAAAACACTCATGGTGAAGGGATTCGAATGATGTCATCATCAGAGTTTTTGGCTTTTTTTTTTTGTGAGGAAGATTAGCCCTGTGCTAACATCTGCCAATCCTCCTCTTTTTTTGCTGAGGAAGACCGGCCCTGAGCTAACATCTGTGCCTCATCTTCCTCCACTTTATATGGGATGCTGCCACAGCATGGCTTGCATCAGTGCGCGCCTGGGATCCAAACCGGCGAACCCCGGGCCGCCGCAGCGGAACACGAGCACTTAACTGCTTGCGCCATCAGGCCGGCCCCCAGAGTTTTTGGCTTTGGAAACATAAGTTTTTATTTTTCTCTCTTCTTGAAGAGAAAGATTTTAAAACCTCCTTTAGTATCCATCCAGCAGTTCCTTTGGCCCTCTCATCTTTTTCTCCTATTTTAATGTGTAATTAATCTATATTTCAACAAATGCGCTGAGACCGTCGCCAGGTGGATGCTGTATGTTTTTACTCTATTACAAAAATGAATAGAAATACAGCTTCCCTTTGCTTTATGCAATAGATGTTTATGTTAGAGTCTTTATTTATTTATTTTTAACAGTTTTATTTATTTATTAATTTTTTTGTGAGGAAGATCAGCCCTGAGCTAACATCCATGCCAATCCTCCTCTTTTTTTTGCTAAGGAAGACTGGCCCTGAGCTAACATCTATTGCCAATCCTCCTCCTTTTTTTTCCCTTTTTCTCCCCAAAGCCCCAGTAGATAGTTGTATGTCATAGCTGCACATCCTTCTAGTTGCTGTATGTGGGACGCAGCCTCAGCATGGCCGGAGAAGCGGTGCGTCGGTGCGCGCCCGGGATCTGAACCCGGGCCGCCAGTACCGGAGCGTGCACACTTAACCGCTAAGCCACGGGGCCGGCCCTATGTCAGAGTCTTTAAAATGAATTATATTTTAAAATGTTTTAGAAGAGCTAGCTATTTAAAGGACATTTGCCAGAAGAATTTTAGAAAACTGAAGAAATTTTCAGGTGCTTCAGATTTTTTAAAAGCAGGAACCACCGTGTAAACATTAAAGCCATGTCCTGACACTTAGACGCGAGAAGACAGAGTCACGTGTGCTGGTTCAGACACACCTGCCCCCCCCCGCCCCCCGCCCCACGGGCAGGTGCACGCTGAGTGCTCCCTTGTTCCGCCGACTCCCTGAGATGCAGCCCCCACCCCGCAATGTACACGACAGAGTCTCTCACCCCTCACTGCGCGTGCCCGAGTGTGCGGCACTGGCTGAAAAGGAATCAGATGAATACAACAGATGTGTTTTGGGATGTGGGGGAAGATGAGAGAAAGAAGATGAATGGCAATCTGTGTGGTATTTCTCTTCCATTATTTATAAATCCTCTAGAACACCAGGCATACAGTGAGGATGGCTTACATTACATTTCTCAGCTTTTCTCTGAGGAGATTCAGAACTAATAAACGAAGCAGGTTGGCTTCCAGGAGTAAACCAAAGGGACCCGACACGTCACGGACTTCCTGTCCGTGACTGCCGTTCTGAGGGTGTGTTTACCCCCTGCACCCACAGACAGCGGTGGAGCTGCCGGCATCGAGCTGGCTGGAGTTCAGCAAACTGCCGAGCAGCCAGGGCCTCGGCCAGGGCTCCGGATCAAGAAGACATGCCCTCAGACACCGGTGAAGGAGGCTTTATTGAATCCTCAGTCACATTACTCTATCAGCTCCAATGTACACCGTCGACAAAGACCCCGGGGTCCCGGAGCGCATGACCTACGCTAGCTTGAGGCACTGCGTGTTAAAGCTGTCCCCTTCTTTGCTGGCCACGGCCTCCAGCAGGCTCTGTTTCTTCTGCACGCTGCGGGAGGACTCGAGCTCGTACATGGTGGTCAGGTTGAAGAGCACGCTCTCGTGCAGGTAGTGCCTGGGGTCCTGCTGCACCATGGCCTCCAGCTGCCGCAGGGAGTCCTTGAGTTTGCCCAGGTAGAGCAGGCACACGGCCGCATTGTTGTTGGCCTGGAGAGGGACACACACAGGAATGGACAGATGGCACCAGCTGCCTGCTCCCACTCCAGTCTCGGGCCCTGCGCATGGCGACCTGGTTTTCTGGGCCTGGGGGCTGAGCGGGGCTGAGCGGGGACTGAGAAGGGCTGAGAGGGGCTGAGCGGGGCTGGAAACCTCCCCCAGCCACCCCTGCAGGTGCCTGACACCAGTGGATTGGGAGAGGCGCGCCGGTGTGAGCTCACACCTGTTGAAGTGTCTTACCACTGCATTTGTTGGTTCAATCTTCAAAATTTCTGTGAAGAATTTGTGGGCTTCTGCAAAGTTATTCTGACCAAGGTGAAGGAAAGCTCTGGAACATAAGTGACATGTAAAGTGTTAACCAGGAAATGTCAAGAGGCTGATGTGAACCAGCCAAACCCACAGGGCGGCTCCCAAACTGCCCAGAGGGCACACTGCTCCCCAGAGCACTGAATCCTGCGCAGGCCGGTGTCAGTGCTGCCCAGACTGGGCGGGTGGCACCTCTGGACTGAACACCCCATGCATCTGGCTAGCAAATTAAAGCAGGTCTCACTTGTATTAATTTAGACACAATAACTTCACCTAAATGTTTTCCTGCTGCAAAAACTGAAACCTGCTCCATGCCTACTCTCTGTTCTTGTGTGAGCTTCACCCGGGCGCAGGCTTCATCGTAACCAACACTCACAAACACAGAGCCGCACGCGTTGTGCACTGCTCTGCTCGCAAGCCAATCACAGATCACCAAAACACAGGACTTCAACATGCTGGTGCACTGGAGGTGGTAAACATTCGTGCAGATTTATGTTGAAAATGGGGGCAATATAAGCAGCACTTTGAAAAACAAGGATAAAAAAATCTTAAAATCAGATTTTATGACTGAAAGAACATGATTGCAATTCAAGAAAATGCCAAGATGCTTCTCAGGTGTAGGATCTACTCAGTTTCAGTTCTGAGAGACAGAGGATGGGAAGAAGTACGGAGAGGAGCATTCTCTCTAGCGGGCTTTACAACTCCGTAAGTAGAGTTGAAACTCTTTTGGGAAATTTGAGAAAATAATTCAATTTTAAAATATATACCTGTTCATTAAAACCATTATTTTACCCTGTAGTCCATCCAATTTCTGTGTTACTTTCTCCACATCTTGAAAATACTGTTCAGCTGTTTTTATGTCTCCAATCTGCTTTGACAAAATTATTTAGTCAGTTCAGGTGACAAAAGAAATATTGTATCTACGTCTACATATATAGTTCCCGAATATCATGTTAGGATACGAGACATTTATGGATCAGGCAGGGGCAAACCTTGGTAACCATTTACTAAACATTACTCTTTGTGAAAAAAGAGGCACACTTAGGATCTAGTGGGATGTCAACATCTGTATGTCAGAAACTAAGTTGTTAACACACATGCCATGTTAAAAAGTCTTAAGTTTTTAATTTGTACCCTTTGAAAGGAATCCTGGCATAGCATTAAGTAAAATAAAAATAAAATGAATGACTAAAAAAGAAAAATTACATTTTGGTGTAATATGGCAGGCCCCAAATTAATTTTTTTTGATTATTTCTGACCAGTAAAATGATAGAGATCATCAAACTTACAAATTTCAAAGTCATATTTTGACCCAATAATACAGAATTTTGTAAAAAACCCACACCCTACTCTTGTCAAACATATCAAACATAAGGAAAAAGCCCGCTCAGCCCCCTTAATAACATGAAGCTGATCCACTGGGACTCCCCATGGCTTCACATCTCCCTGCGCAGCCATCGCTGGAGAACCACAGCCTGGGGCTTGTTAAGGGATATTCAGGTCTCCTTCTGCCTTCGAAAACATAAGGAAGGAAACCAACGATCTAAGGCTTATAATGAGAGATATACGAAAATTAAGAAAAATCCTGTTATAAAAAAACGTTACACACAAGGGTGAGGTAAAAACAGAGGCCTTTGTGTTCCAGAGCTGCCTGGAGGAACAGCATTCTGCATGACAGCGAGACCCCCTACACGAGACTGTCTTTGTCCACGTGATTATCAAGAGACAAGGTACGTCTGTGCTCCTGGCAGTCTAATAAGTAGAGGAGAGCGGAGGGCACCAGTTAACTCGCCCTCTTCAGGGCAAGCATCTATCACTCAGGAGCCCAAACCCTCATTAATTCTCGGACCACTGCTGTGAGACGAGGGAGCTGGGTCTGCGCTCCTGGAGGTCCTGCGAGCAGAGGCGTGGACTGCTCTTTTTCCACACCATCTTCCCAGGGATGTGTGTGCAGCCTTGGGAGCTGGATTATCTCCCTCTGGAGCAAAGGGCACATGTGCTCACTGTCCAGCAGCAAAGATTTGGGTCCCTCAAGTTCAGGTTTACTCTCCAGCAAAGCCACACACTGCAGGTATCATCGGGCCCTCTTCGCATTACCCTCAGGAAATCAGGGCTCGGTGTTTGGGGACAAAAATGACACTCTGGCTATACTGCCATTGCTCTGAGTAATAAACGTCCTGTGTCTCTGGCCTGGGAGTCTCACGTCTTCTGTCAGCATCCAGGTACCGGCAGCTCACTGCATAGGCTGCAAGGAGGAAAGTCTCAGACCCTTCCTAGTTGTCGACACCACCCCACAAAACAATACCACATTAGGAGGAAGAAAAACAAAACAAAATGTACAATGATGACACAGACACAAGAAGAAAACAGAATGGCATTTATCCACCGCTTCCCTGGATGGACAGCAGTGTGAAGTCTTCTACAGGCTTCTCACTTGCTAACTCACTAAAAGAAACGGAAGTCAGTGTAGGCTCAATGCCACGCCCTCAGCTGGAACGTCTGAATTTCCTGCAGTGTGTTCACTTTAACTAAAACTCTGTTTAAGAGGACCACTGGAGATTACTACCGCTAATAAAGATCTGTCGCGCCCTCAATATGTGCTGGGTGCTGTGCCAAGTGCTTCAGACACAGCCCGGCTAACTCGTACAACAACCTGTGATGTCTTCATTCTCTAGATGAGACAAACGAGGCTCAGAAAGGTTAGGGAGGGGCCGGCCCCGTGGCGTAGCGGTTAAGTGTGCGTGCTCCGCTGTTGGCGGTCTGGGTTCGGATCCTGGGTGTGCACCAACGCACCGCTTGTCGGGCCATGCTGTGGCGGCGTCACACATAAAGTGAAGGAAGATAGGCACAGATGTTAGCTCAGGGCCAGTCTTCCTCAGCAAAAAAACAGGAGGATCGGCATGGATGTTAGCTCAGGGCTGATCTTCCTCACAAAAAAAAAAAAAAAAAAGAAAAGTTTGGCAGTTTTCTCAGGTCACACAGCTCACACTGAATAGACTGGGGTTCAAAACCAGGTCTGTCCAACTCCCGACCCCGCACTGGCCCTCTGAGCCACGAGGCCTTATGGAGCTCATGTGGGGCTTGGGCCAAAACTAATTTTTTAGTGGAAGATAATAGAGAAATCTTGGAATATTCTTTGCCACTTACTGATTTTCCTGAGATTAGAAAGTAAGTTTACATCTTAATTATTAAAACGTAGTTAGGATTTAAAATCCTACTGATTTTCTAAGAGAGTTAACTTAAAATATTAAACAATATAAAAAGGCAGTTAAAAGTATTGAATATCTAGTAAGTAAGCAAATAAATAAATAACAAACCCAAACTAGTTATTTGAGGGAAACATGTAATAAGTGGATGAACTAATCAAGAAAAAGAAAGCATAAATAGAATTATAAATGTGAAAGGAGAAATAACTAGAGGTAGAAAGGAAACTGAAATAATTATGAAAGAGGACTGTATTTTACAGAACTCTTTGCAAATACATGGGAAAACATGGACCAAATAGGTGATTTTCTAGGGCACACTAATGACCAAAATTGATCCAAGAAACAGAAGAAACTTCAGGCATATAACATTAAAGCAGATTCACAACAATAATAAGTTATGAAAAATGATCAATGTTGCTGCCCAAAAATCCCAAGAGCTTGGCAGAGGCATTTCTTAGGTGAATTATTCAAACCTTCACGGAACAGATAATTCCAAAATACCTAAAATTTTCCAGAGAACAGAGAAAGAAGGAAAGCTTCTGACTTCCTTTTATGAAAACAGAAAACAGATACAAATGCTTCCGAGAAGGGTGCTCGTGCACACACACACCCTGAGACCAGTTTCACGTGTAAATGCCAAGATGTGGGAAACATCCCCCAGGAGCCCTGCCCTGTTGGTTCTGGCCTTGGGAGTAACAGATCCCATGTGTATTTCCACGGCAGAAACAAAAACGCTCACTACCTTTGACTCTCCCCTCCTTCCCGGAGAAGAACCTCGGGTGGGGCCATGGGGCCAGACCTGGCAAGGGCTGGGGCGAGCTTTCTCCTCCCCTCCTGCAGCCACCTGGAGGGCACGGGTTCCAGGCGGGGCGGCCCTGCAGAGCAGCTGGACCCGCAGAGCTGGAGCAGCAGAGCTGGACCCGTGGGGCCTCGGCAGCACGCAGCTGTCTGGGTTCAGGCACCAGGACCCTTACTGTTTGCTCCCAGCGTGCCCTCCCTCATCGTGTTCATGCCCCACAAGCTAAAACTCAGCTGTTTCTCCTGTGCCATTGTTGTTGATTCTTCACCTTCTTAGTGGCCCTGAAGCCACTATAGATCGTCTGTGACTGTTTTAAATGTTCTCTAGGCTGAGTGTTATACATTCTTACAGTTGTGAGCTGCTGGATGAAGAGTCCAGTGAGGATGAGTTCTCTGTGATCCAGCGTCAGGTTACGCACAGTAAACACAGTCAAAGACAGCACAGCGATCTCAACAGCCACAGTAGGTTGGCTAGCTTATAATAAACTTGCAGTCAGTTAGAAATCTCAGTTGTTTTTTTTTTTAAATATTTATTTATTTATTTATTTATTGTGTGTGTGTGAGGAAGACTGGCCCTGAGCTAACATCCGTGCCCATCTTCCTCCACTTTATATGGGATGCCACCACAGCATGATCTGACAAGCGGTGTGTCGGTGCACGGCCAGGATTCGAACCTGGGCCACCAGCAGCAGAGCGCGCTCACTTAACTACTACATCAAGGGGCTGGCCCCCCCAGTTCTTTTCATATTTATCATCAATAAACTTTAGTTATGGAAACAGGTCTGAAATTCATATAGAAAAATCAGTCTAAATTTTTGTATATAAAAATCTTCATATTTTAAAATTTATCAGACAAGCTGATATGTTCCAAATGGGCAAATCCCCCTGATTAATGTACATAAAGTAACAAAAGTAACGTACTGCCCAGTGTCCTGGTTTCTCTTTTATCTCCTCCTCCTCTGAGTTGTCCCTCTCCAGCATCCCCTGGGGCGTCCTGAAGGTACAGGTCCTAGGACTCTGACCTCAGCTCTCCGTTCTCCTCCTGACTCCCTCCCGCATCTGTTCTTGCTGCAGGGCCTTAGGTCCAGCGGGAAGGAGGCAGCAGAAATAGATCAGACTGCACCCCGCAGAGGCCTCCTCTACCATGGACCCGACCTGCCTTCCAGGGTCCACCTCCAGATCCAGTCATGCTCCCTACTGACTCCGTGCTCTCCGTGATGATACGCCACACTCTCAGGTGCAAAATTAAACGAATGAGCATCACTTTCTCCTCTTGTCTGTGCTGCCGTGATGAATGGTTTTGCCCAGCACCTCCTCTACCCTGCTGTGGTGAAGGCTTCTGCCTGGTCACTGCTGGGTTCCTGCTTTCGGCCAGGCCACCAAGGACCCTGGTCTGCAGCACGGTGGAGACCAGCTGCCTTTCTCTCAGCCAGATCAACTCTCAACGGGTCCTCTTTCTGCACTTGGCTCCTGGACTCCACGCTGGCCCAAGAGGCTACTTTCCTGGTATGAGGGACGACCCCCTAGACCAGCTGCTCCTTTTCATTCTCTCTCAGCTTCCAAGACACAAAAATCACAGACAAAAAAGACTTTGAGGGGGTGGATCTAAGTCAGAGTGAAGTAACTGTAAGAAGATGAATAAATACCTCTTTATGTGTAAAGATCTGGTTAATTTTGCTCTCTTTAATTTAGGTTTCTGAGAAACTCCCTCAGAATACAAATACCTCCACCCTCGCTCACAACACAGATTTCCCTTCAGAAGGGGAAATTCCTGTTCTCCCTGACTCGCCCCCCGTTGGTGTGGAATGCAGTTGCTGCAAGGAAGCTCTGCAGGATGAGGGTAGGTAGGACTGTAGCAGCGGCCCCAGCAGGCCTGTGGTTTCTAGATAAACGCTGTTACCTAGTTTGTGGGTGCCTGACAGTCAGCTGGCGGGTGTGTGGACACAAGAGAACCACGCCTGTGTTATGAGGCAAAGCTGAGAAGTGGACTGGCTCCCGTCTCTCTGGGTATCGCATCTCAATTACAGGCTTGAATGTATCGTGGTCTGAGTCCAGCTTTTCCACCTGTAATGTGAATGGCGCACAGACTGAATAGGTGACCCTTTGCTCAGGAATCAGAATTAGGTTATGAACTTCTTGGAAAGAATGAGGATAGCTCTTCAAAAGTAAAGTACTTTATTTTTTTTTTGGGGGGGGAGGAAGATTAGCCCTGAGCTAACATCTGTTGCCAATCCTCCTCTTTTTGCTGAGGAAGATTGGCCCTGGGCTAACATCCGTGCCCATCTTTCTCAACTTTATATGTGGGACGCTGCCACAGCATGGCTTGACGGTGCATAGGTCTGCGCCCGGGATCTGAACCTGCGAACCCGGGCCACCGAAGTGGAAAGCACGAACTTAACTACTATGCCACTGGGCTGGCCCCTAACCTATGTTTTGAAACATTAAGATTGCATGTCTGTTAGGAGGGCTAACACAAAGTGAGGCACCTCAGGGGCCCCTGGACATTTGCCAGTGTCTCTTCTTTCACCGTCCAGCAATTGGTGATGTGGTGCACAGGTGGTCTCCTATTTTTAGTTCACATAATATTTTAGGAAAACCTTAAACACTGAATTCAATGCAGAATTTGAAACACACAGAGAAGATGCAGTGCCAGTATTCTAAACCTGGCTAGGTAGTATCATCTAGAAATTTAATGTCCATTCATTTACTTCGTCTGCACTCAGCTCCATCATCTCTAGTGCTGTCACGGTTCCTTTACATCAGGCTCCTTCACGCTTCTGCTGGTCAGGGCTGCCACGCAGAGCACCAGGCAGGCCCTGCTCGCCCTAGATGATCTCGTAATCTGCGTCCTCTACTGCCCCTTGTAGTCCTCTCCCAGAGACTCGTCTCTTCATCTGTGCTGGAACCTACAGACGAAATGGACAAGCACATCCTGCAGGACAGCCCTGGGGCTGGGGGCATGGGCTCAACGTCCACACGTCTGCACGCGGACAGTCCTTCTGTTCCCTGCTGTGGTCCAGCTCACAGGTTCTCGAAGCTCAGTGACCCTTGGCTTCTCTCTTCTGACTACGTGCGGTCAGGGGTTTTCAAGGGCAATTCTGACCAGGTGCGGTTTTGGCCTCTAGTGGACTTTCGGGCGCAGCCCTTCTACCAGGATTTGTGGGAACGGGATGAGATGTGCTTCATTCCTCGGGTCCCGCAGAAGGGTGAGACATGGGAAAACCCAGTAACTCACATTTCCTGAGCTCTTCCTCTGTCCCGTGCATCGTGCAAAGTATTTTAATGGATTAGCTCAGTTAATCTCAGAGGGGGAAACTGAGGCTGAGCAAGGTTCGATAACCTGAGCTGGGGTTCCCTAGGTCTGTGTTCTTCCAACCCAGCTCCTGAGCCCTGTGTGTTCATTCCTGAAGATGCCTTGGGAAAGAAGTGAGGAGAGAGCTTATTGAGGGTCTGAACGACTCGATGGGCATCTTCTTTCCAGGCCTGAAGGATGGGCTGGACTGCACAGGCAGAGGGAGGGAAAGGAGCTCGAAGCAAAGAGAAAACTAGGTTGGAAGGCACAAGCTAGGGCCAAATTTGGGAGGGCCCTGAATGTGGGCTTCAGATGTGGGCTCACCCGACAGGTGAGCCATGAGGGGCCAGGAGGAGCTCTGACCAGCATTGACACCACAGAGCTGCACTTTAGAAGGCCAGTGCAGTGGTCTGGGGGGACTGAGGGGCAGCTGAAGCTGGAGGCTGTGAGAAAACGAGGGAAACGCGCCATGACATGCCCCACAGTGCAGCAGTATGCACTCTCAGCGGTCCCTGTGCCCCTCTGCTGGGGTGGACGTGCTGAGACGTCGGCACGTCGGCCCTCAGGCAGGAGATAGGCCTGGATAGGGCTGGCCCCAGGCGACGCAGGCCATGCTGCCCAGGACTGTTTCTGAACCCGGGTGCCATCAGCTGCCTGCTGGAGCAACTTTACAGAAACTGCAGCTCAGTGGAAGCAAGTCTTGAGCCTGGTGCGCTGGGTGAGGGTGCCTTTGAGACCAGTAAGGGTTCAGGGCAGGGCGGGGGTTCAGGGCAGGGCGGGGCTTCAGGGTCCGGGCTTCATCTCAGGGCAAAGCCGCCCGGCCGACATGGGTGGAGCGAGATGTGGACCAAGTCCTGCACCCCAGCATCGGGCCCTAGGACTTGCTCCTCATCAGTCTATGGTCCAGAAAGACCTAGAACTACGCGTGAATTCGAGTCGCTGTGTTGCTTCTCCCAGGGAGACTTGCACTTTAAACCCCACCTGCGATGGCAGGAAAGGCCCACTTCACAGCAGGCAGACAGTGACGGCTCTTTGTAAAGAAGTCCTTCCTCCGACCCCAGCCACGTCCTCTCTGAAGTCCCAGGCAAGCTGCTGACCCAACAGCACAGCACCGGCCAGAGGGATACAGAGGAGCTACAGGAGGACGTTACACAGAAACCCTCAGAGACTCAAGTGGGAGGGGGCACAGGCCACTAATGCTCCGCCTGCAGGATCAGTGTCCTGGGGCTACTGCAGTGAGGAAGGGCTCGTCCTTCCCTGTGGCCACACGTTCCAGGGAAATGCATCCTGGCTTTCAGCGTTGCTCTTGGCAGAGAGGGTACTGCCCCTCGCTCTCTGCGTTGTTGGGACCCCTGCTGCAAGCCAGACTGCCTTGTCCAGTCCATGTGGAGTCAAGTGCTCTTTCCAGCAAAATATCAGCAAGTAACTGCAGTCTCAGGCAAGCTGAAATAAGACCCTTTATGCTTTTGTCAATACTTTTATAACAGCAACAGGACAATTTCTAAAGTAATCCGTTTCTGTGTGTCACCAATGAAAATCTATGTAAATTCACATTTAGTAATCGGCTTCATAATCACATCAGAGCCAGCAGGATGCAATACTCAATACAGTCAAACCAGAACAATCGCAAAGAACTAAACCTTTTAACAGTCATAGAAATTTGAATCGAGATATTTCTGTGCTATTTCTTAAACCTACAGAATTAAAGCTACGTCACGGGCCACTAAGCAGGAGCCTTCCCACTGAAGCTCCCCGGTCGGCGCAGCACACCTGGAGGAAGATCCGGCCGATGCCGCTCAGCAGCTGCGGCTCCTGCTCTGGGTGGTACTGGATGACAGAACGGTAAGCGTCCACGGCCAGCACGTAGTCCTGGGGGAAGAAACGCCCAGAGAACATCTTAGAGATAAAAAGGTGGCCGAGCCGGAGCCCGTGCAGACTCATGTGTGAAGAGAGGACATGGGACGTGGGAGTGGGCAGGAGACAGGACACCCCGCGCCAGACACTGCGCCAAGGGGAGCGCCCACCAGGACCCCAGTTCTGTGCGCTACTAGTCGGCGAAAGCTCCCCATCACTGAGAGGCAGGCTGAGGCTGTGCTCATGCACACAGGCTGAGGGTCTTGCTTCCATCTCCTAAGGAGCAACGAGTCTTTCACCTAGACCGTCTCTCTCTGTTTCCTGACAAAATTATTAAGTGAATTGGTGAATTTTGTCTTGTTTCCCAGCAGCCGAATACATAAGCCAAGTTTATTAACAGCATCTCTCAAACATTTTCTATGCCAGAAAGGCAAGTATACTCTTTAAATGTAAACAAAAAAAAAAAACCCACAAAACAACTTAGCTGAGAGAGTAAGCAGGGATTCTAGGTCAGACTAACAGAGCAGGACTCTTGACTGTTACACCAGAAATTCCTACCGCTTTAGAGACATCTATATAGGACACTGAAAAAGGCTCTGCGAGCTACTGCGCCAAGTCCTTCACCTCTCTCTCACTTACTCGATTCTCCTGCGCCCTCGTCATAACGCCCTCCACGCTGCCCTGCGGTGACCGGGCAAGGCCTGGCCAGGACCAGCTCTGCAGTCACCTGCCCATTCGCCCAGCGCTGGCGTCGTGGGCGCTCGGCTGATGCTACGTGAGGAAAGCCCTCTTGGTCCACAAGCAAGAGAGGCAGAACCAGTCGCCTCTATCAGTTGTGAGAAAGCAGGTCTCAGAGAGACGCGGTCTTGCCCAAGTCATGTAGGACACAGCCCTTGGCTCGTCTCAGGGCCCCCAGCAGACCCAGGCTCTCCAGAACGACAGAGATGGCCACAGTGTTTACTGAGTTTATTGTATTTTGAGTCAGAGCACACAGTCAGCAACAAATACGGCCACCAGTGGTATTTTTCTCCTTAATCTTCATAAAACCCCAAAAGGTACTTTTACTTCTTTATTCTTCTACGTTTCAATCTCATCCAAACTGGGACTGGAGTTACTAGTCTGCTAATTGAGATGTTATAAAGAAAGAAAGATGACAAGTACAACTCCAGTTTAGCGGGGAAAAAAACGAAAAGCCTCGCTCCAGTCCAGCGCCTTCAAGCACAGCTCATTAAAAGGATCTTATTCAAGGCTCGGTGTGGAGCCTCACGGCACCTGCCTCGTCCCTCCCACAGCTTCTGCCTGCCTGTCACCACGGCCAGTGGCAGGGCCATGCTGTATCCAGTGCTGTGTGTGCCCTACACACGGGTGTACAACTGTGTGAATGTGCACACGTGTGTGAAAGTGTGTGCAGCAAGCGTGAGTGTGTGTGTGCTGAGAGGCGCCCCTCCTGGAGGAGGCAGCGCCTCCCACTGCTTGGTGGCTGGCGGAGCCCTTGGGGAAGCCGAGGCCCAGCTGAGGGGAGCGGGGTGCCCTCAGGGGCTGCGGGTCTGGGCTTTGGCCCGAGCTCCAGGCCCATCTAGACTCTGCGGGTGGGGGGGGCCTCGGAGCACCTGTCACACTGGGAATCACCTGCTGTAATTTAACACCTGCCCCTGATTTTCGGTTTAGAGTGAACAAGAGGCAATTCTGACCTGATCATCACTCAAGTGTCACTGGGTCATGTGGGTGCATGTCCCCAAATGTCAGCCTGTGCATCACTCACTCTCCTGATGCTCCCAGCTGAGCCAGGGACGACACACGTGGAGGGTGGTGACATGTCCACTCCTGGCCGGCAAGGCCAGGTGGCCTCCCTTCTAGAATGGCTTTCTGGCCAGTGTCACTGCCTCACGACTCCCTGTTTAGTGCTTGTGGCCGGGAGTCAATGTTGCTGAAGGCACTTTGATATGGAAATGACAGGTTTTAGAAAACCTAGCAATGATCCTTGCTGGTCAGTTATTTTACCATAGATCTGTTAAAACACGGCTCTCCCAGGTGAATACGTCCGGGCAGATCCATAGGCATGGGAGCCACGTGAGAAAGCTGGATTCCAGGCAAGAGGTCAGACAAGAGGAGGAGGGACCATGGGGCAGCCGGTTGGCCCCCAAGAGGTCAGCCATAGTCACAGCCCAGGAGCCGCTGCAGCCACGGGGATGGACTGCCAGGTTTCCAGGAGCCTCTCATCAAATACGCCAGAGCAGGAGCGTGTCAGAGAGCTTCTGTAAGTTGATTACTAGTTAATGAAATTGTTTATTTACTGGAGGTGGAGGCAATCCAGTCCTTTTAACGGAAAATGGCTAAAATGAGCTCTTCAGAGAGAGCTTAATCCACTCTGCACATTATATAGATTTGACCTTGCAAAAGGGTCTGAATGGCTAGCTCACAGGGACAGACATGCTTTAGCTCCACCTCTACCCTTGTCCTGTCAGCAGCCACGCTTGTCTGGTGGCTGTGAAACTAGACTCACAACCACCTGCAATAGAAAGGCCTGTGCAGTGTGAGGTAAGCAAGAAGGAAGGTGGTTTATGTGGCTACGTGGTCCTTTAAATGACGTGAGAAGCCACAACAGTTGGCCTGTGCAGGATGGGGAGCTGTGGGACACCCAGGCACAGGGCGGGCCCCTGACGCAGTAAGCACAGGCATCCCTGTGGTCTGCCAGCAGGCACCTTAGGGCTCCTGTGGGTCTAAGGAGGGGAAGCAACATGAAGAGGCAGGATTGGTGCAATTTCCCAGGCCTTGTAATACGTGCAATTGTGCCTGGTTGTATTATGCAGATACTCGGGGCTGAATCGTATGAATAGATTTCTCATCGTTAAAAAGTTAAATTAATATTTATTTCACTGTAATAGAAATGCTGTTCAAAATAATTAAACGGCTGATAAATAATCATTGTTAGCCCATACACATAATTAAATTAACATGACACCCCACAATGGAGACCACACACTGTTGTAACGCTGGGCACACTCACCAGATGGCAATAGAACGCATGTGCCTGCAGCAGCCGTAACTGCAAAATATTTTATTCCTTTTTTTAACTCATGATAATGAAAGATTAATCTAAAATTTCAAATTAAATTGCATTCATCATAAAAGTATTTTTGAGACACAACACTGTGTTCTGTACTGAGTCCCAGCAATGCGGGTCTGACGGTGGTGGCCTGGTGGTGGTACCACTACTACAGACAGTAGTCTGTAGGAAAGCATTTTTATCCCAAGTTTTCTATTATTGTGTCTTAAAAATGCAAATAAAAACCCACCAGTGGAACAGGTAACTTCCCTCCTGAGAATTTTTAGCCCCATGATTAATGAAACACCAGCCTGTGAATTTACAATCTGTTCTTCATTTCTTTCATAAGCAGATGAACTTCAGGTGTGGCTGAGGGCTAGAGGCCGGACCATGGGGGTTTCTGAGCGGGCTACCATCAATCGGCTGTTGGGGAGAATGGGCTGTTTGGAGGGGCAGAGGGGACAAAGCCCCGGCTCTGGGAGAACGACCGCCCTCCTGCCCAGGCATGTGCCTGGGGCAGGCGCAGGGCTAAGGTGTGAGAGGACGAGGGACACACTCACGGATGGGCAGGCGGCCCTGTGGGAAACAGGTTAGATGTGGACACCAAAGGAAAAAACCCTGGGCACAACACAGAGCTCCTTAACCCCCTAGCGTCCATCATCCAGTGTGCTGAGAGAGGAGAGGGCTGCGTGAACGAAGGGGCTGGAGGGACGTCAGACCAGTCTGTGCCCCGTTTCAGAGGAGGCGCCTGGGGCTCAGCAAAGTCCAAGGGCGTTGTAAGGTTGCTATGTGGACCCCACTGTCGCACCACTACAGGGGTGCACGGAAGGCGGGGCCACCAGCGTGGGCCGCTCTAAGGCGGCTTCAGGCCATATGTCTTCCTGACTAAAAGGACAAGCTGCTTAGGGCTATGAATTGACACCCGCACCCAAGCCCTCTGTGCCGTGCCCAGGACACGATCCTTCTGCACAGGTTTGGGGGGTCGATGTATAACGTGGCTCCACGTCAGGGTTAAACATGGAGCCCACAAGCACATTTCTCCACTCAACAAACTGCCTGCTCTGCTTTGTGAAATTCGAGCAGGAATGACCTTGGGCCGGCCTGTGGGCGGAGACATGACTGTCTCAGAACAGCTCAGAAGGTGCTAACAGTGGCTGATTGATTCCTGCAGCAGCTTTCAGCACCAGCAGCTGGCTGCAGTACCACCAGCTCGGTGCGGTCACCCTGCCCTGGGGCTGGCGAGCTGGGCTGGGGTGTCGCAGGTTCCCAAGAAAGGGAGAAGCCGGAAACACTGCTGTGAAGGTAGGGAGGGCCTGCTGGAGGAAGAAAACAAAGGACCAGGCCCTCAGTTCAGCCTTCTTGATTCGTAAGCTGTCTCCTCAGGGGGCTGAAAGCTCTGGGTGAAGCCTGAGAAGCAGGTCCTGTGGGGAAGCCTGTCTCTAGATGCCATGAGCATCAATCATCAAGTCAAACCAGGACAAGGAAAAACGCCCTCTCACTCCAGGAGAACAAAGGCGACCTTTCTGAGCTGGAGTTCAGAGAAGAGTGAGAGAGGGAGCGAGTGAGTGGGCACGATACGAGAGCATGAATAATGATTTTAATTAAATCATCTAGACCCATGTTCGAACAATTAAACTTGACAATGTAAATTCTACATTCTGTTGAAATTTCTTTTAGTAGAAATTAAAGTAAATTTAGCCCCGAGTGTGTCACTGAACTCTCTGTTTGGGTGACCCCTCCCTCTGACCCCAGAGTGTTTCTCAGCCGAGTGTCCCGGCGGTCCCCGTGCAGTTTCTGCTGACACCCACCTTCATCAGGAGCAGGCAGTTGGCCATGGAGCACATCACCCGGCCCAGTCGGGACCTCCACAGCTGGACGGAGGCTGCAACAGAGGGGCAGCCGGTGAGTGTGCGCACAAGCCGGAGGCACGCCCCAGCCGTCAGTTATGGGTCCCGTGAGTTCCGACTTAGATGACCCCTCTGTCACCACAGCCAGAGGTGGTGTGCACTGCACTGCTGAGACACATCCTGGGGCCAGAGCTCTTGGCTCTGGAAAGAGAACAGCTGGAGAGGGACGCAACAACGACAAAGGAGGGTGACTGCTCAGCTTCAGGGCAGACAGAAGATCACAAAATGTACCAAGGCCGTGTTTCCACAGTTAGCACCCTAATATAATGAGCGAATCTGATGAAGATGCAGCCCTGGCCCACAGCTGGGTCACCTAATGGTGTCAAAGTGAATGGGTGGGAGGGCCCACTGCCTGGGCAGCTGGACGGCTTGTCCAGCAGACCAGGGAGGCGCCTACCACCTGCCTGGGGGCAGTAAACTCGCCAGCTGCAGGCCTTCCCTGGCCTCACGGCTGCAGGGCTACTGAACGGCTCACTCATCTGGGAGTCAGCACGCTGCGTCATGGTTACTGCAGCCAGCATTCTCAAGGCCCCAGTTTCCTGACCTTTTATGGGAACAGTAATTCCTATCCTACCTGCTTCACAGGTATGAGGGCACAGAAGTGCCTTCTAAAAGGTCCCAGGCACCCTCGCCTGGGAGATAGGAGGGTGGTGACGAGGACGACGCAGAATCAAAGCCGAGTCTCCATGAGGCATCTGCGTAACAGTGGCGTGATGTCACACATACCCCACCAGGGCATTTCCAAATTCCTCCACAGGCCTGCTTTCCCCTCCCGGAGCATCCACCTTCACTGTCACTCGTAGTGACTGGCGTGGCCCTGCCCTGTTCTCTCGTCTCTCCGTTAGTCATCAGCCATCGCTCTGCTGATTCCCAGCCTGAAGGTCCCCTAGGAGCTGCTTCGGGTGAAGAGAGGGCTGACTAACGGCTCCCTGCCCAAACCCCAGCTGAATTTTACTGTTTATACATTGGGATTGTCAGGAGTAAGGTCTGCTTTGGAGACCAAGCTGATTTTAAACCTTATATTTTGTTGATTAATGCACTGAGGCCCAGAGAGGCCAGGGTGCAGTCCATCCTGACCCCAGTCCAGCACTCCTCCGCTCTGCCAGTTCCTTCAAGAGAAACAGCATTCACGACTCAGAAACCAGAGGACACAGGGAGCACTACCGGATGAGGAGTATGCGAGAGTGGACGACACGGGGAGCACAGGAGGAGGAGGAGCAGGCGAGAGTGGAGAGGACACGGGGAGCACAGGAGGAGGAGGTGATGGTGGAGAGGACACCGGGAGCACAGACAGAGGAGGAGGAGGAGGTGATGGTGGAGAGGACACCGGGAGCACAGACAGAGGAGGAGGAGGAGGTGATGGTGGAGAGGAGCACAGACAGAGGAGGAGCAGGCGAGGGTGGAGAGGACACGGGGAACACAGACGGAGGACGAGGAGGTGATGGTGGAGAGGACACGGGGAGCACACAGGAGGAGGAGGAGGAGCAGGCGAGGGTGGAGAGGCAGACGCAGCGGCCGTCCAGCTGAGGACTAGGGACGCGCCAGCCCTGGACACACTCAAGTGACAATAATTGGGTGAGCTTGCCTTACACCGTCCTGCCCCCTTACTGAAACTGACCGCTTTTGGCTGCCAGGATCAATGGTATTTTGGGATAACAATCGCCTAGAAATTTTGCTTATCTTGGAGTGTTTAAGAAGAACACACAACACCTAATTGCCAGAACTAAGAATTTAACTTACTTTGCCTTTCAGCAATTAAAAATACATTAGCTGCTTATATTCTCCTTATAACATCATTTTTGTGAAAAGAAAATTCTGAGCAATGACATGTCTTAACGTAAACTGTGACCTTCGCGGTGAGCTAGAGATTCATCTTGATTACCTTCGCGGACGTCTCCTTTTTCCCTTTATCACCTTATAAATCTGCTTATCTGTTGTGACTCTGTTAGATTTCCGGAAACTGCTTTCTCAGATCTAATAACTACCTGCTCATTCCCACTAATGCAGGCGCCCCAAGGCGCAGAGAGTGCTGGAGAAGGGGATGCCCAAGGGTGAGTGGCGACTTCCCTCCTTCAGACTGTGCTAATCTGCCTGCATTTAATCACTGAGGAGGACACGTGCGCACACAAGCACACCCACAAACCTGGCGGTCACTTGGAATTTCTCAAACTAAGGAATCTGTATTTCAAGCAAAAACACAGCTCAGGAGCTCGGCCGGTGGCGCGAGCGGTTAAGTGCGCGCGCTCCACTTCGGCGGCCCAGGGTCTGCGAGTTTGGATCCCGGGCGCACACCGATGCACCACTTGTCACGCCATGCTGTGGCCGCGTCCCATATAAAGTAGAGGAAGATGTACACGGATGTTAGCTCAGGGCCAATCTTCCTCGGTAAAAAAGAGGAGGATCGGCATCGGATGTTAGCTCAGGGCTGATCTTCCTCACAAAAAACAAAACAGAAAAAAATGCAGCTCAGTGCTTTTGGCCCCTGAGAGCAAATATCTCCTGCCCACGTTGCTCACTCCCATCTCACAGCCCCGTGTGTATGAGGCCAGGGCCTCCCTGGACCTGGGGTCTCACATGGCTCTCCATCTGGAGTGCTCTCCTCTCCAGGTCCCTCTCCTGCTTTTGGCACATCAGTGTCCATAGAGAGCAGCTTCGGAGGAAACCCACTGCTTTCCAGCATATTCTGTGCCAGCCAGCGGTCACCGAGAACCTGCTCCGAGCCAGGCACACGGAAGTGGAGACTGTTAAGCCCCTGCTCCAGGTGACACAGAGTGGGACAGGTGCCCTGGGAACAAGGAGATGACTGGGCAACCGCAGGCCTATGTGGAGAGGTGCTGTCCTGAGGAATGAGTGGGTAGGGGAAGGGCCTCTCGGGGAGGCACCACTGGAGTTGAGTTTTGAAGTTCATCTCTCTAATGTTCTCAAGAAATCATAGCCAGGATGATCTTCTCAAAACGCAAATTGGCTTGTGTCAGCCCAGCACTCAGGATAAAGACCCACATTGTCAGCCTGGGCCCCAAGGCTCTGCATGCAAGGGCCCCAGCTTCCTCTCCCCTCTGGCTCCTCACCGCCTCACCCTCCCTCCCGCCACAGGCTGTCGCTCTGGCTGGGCAGCCCCCATCCCGGACAGGCCTGGCTCCTCTCCTCCACAGCAGCAATCATAGTGAGAGAGCTCACATGGATCTGTGGGGTTATTTGGTTTAGGCAGCTCTTCTCCACCCAAAAGGGCTCCCCGTGAGCAGGGCTTATGTTTGATCTTGCTCTTCATGTATCAACAGCACCAAGCACGGTGCTTGGCATTCCGAAAAAAGAAATGAGGAAACGAACGCATGAAAGGACAAATGCATTGCTGAGTAAGGAGAGAGAATGAGAGAGAGACAAAACCTCTGGGGTTGAGTCTTCTGATAACTCTCGATAATTATTTAACAAAGAAAAGTTGGACCACTGACCTCTTCTGTTCTCCGGTGAGATGCTGCTCATGCTCCCGTCTTCAGCTAACCCTTGCTCCAGATTTGTCAGGATCTGCAGTAATTTCAAGTAAGAACACAAAGTCATAAAAAATGAATTTGCTTCTAGACTTTGCCGTAATATATTCTAGGAGAAGCCTATTTCTTGGTACGAAAACTAGTTTGTCAGGGAATGTTTCACACGGACACGTTTAAACATCGCTGCTACTGCAGATGTAGGCGCTGGTGGCGGAGGGGGTGCTGCTCCAGCTGACGGTGGAGTCCGGGCTTATGATGTTTATCTCATACTGCATTCAGACAGCACACAGAGGGTAGATGTTTTTTCTTTTTAAGAAAAGCATCAAGTATGTTACATGAGAGGATGATTATTAACTTCCTTGAAAATATCAGTCTTGTTCCTCCAGGGCACCATGAGGTGTGTGGCCTTTTTTAACATATCAAATAAATTCTGAACTTCCACTTCAGGTAGTTTTTATTGTTTGGTTAATAACTTTGGATTGCTTCTTTTGTGTTTTGGTTTTCTTTGAAAGAAAAGAAGCTGTGCCACTGTAATTTGGGTAGAGAATGTATTTTTTTGAGGGGTAGGATGAGAGGAAAAAAGTCTTAAGCATAAAGACTACTTGCTAGGGAGAAAAATAAAGTATTAATTGAAAAAAGGTTATATCATAGTAATCACATAGTCAGTGATTACTGACTTGAGGCCGTATGCTTTGGGAAAAAATCCTTTCGTTTATTAGATCACCTTGCCAGTTAACATTTCTCCAAACAACTGACCCCCGAGAGGTGAAGTTCACAACCCAACGAGGAAGCCGCTTTGGGCTTTTACTTGCCTGGTCCCCATCTACGCAGCCACGACGGCTAACCAGCCCTCCTCATCTGCAAGCTATTGCTTCATGCAAGCTGGAGAACAATTTGCTAAGAACACGAAGGCCTGTCCTACTGTGACGACTCAGGACACACTGGGGTTCTAAACTGTAACCGTGAAGATTATCCAGTTGGTCTAAACCAGGTCAGATGACATTTTTTAGCTAATCTGTCTTCTGATAAATAATCATAAAAACAGAAACTGATGAGCAAATTGATGGTACCATTAAATTAAATTCCCCCGGCTAGGATACAGGGAGGCCAGGAAAAAACAGAAGAGAGAAGGTCTACTGAAGAACAAACGCAGGTGGCCTGGTGTCTTCCTGACCAGCAGGGCCCACACAAGTGCATGGCCTCCCACCCGGCTCTGACTGACCAGGGTTAATGGAGGGGACACAGAGGAAGGCGTGGGGATCTGAGAGTAAAACCAACCACAACAGAAGAGCTTGAGAGAATCAGAATCGCAGAGGCAGACTGCAAACTCCGTGAGGGCGAGGAGGGTGATGGGGAACTGAGCTGGGCCCACACTGCGGATCATCTCCACGCACTGCTGAGACCCAGTGAGCCCCACCACGGGGGCTTCGGTGTCTTCAGCCTAAGCTGACTCGCTTCCATAAAAGGCAGCGGGGTGGGAAGAAGCAACATAGGAGGAGAGGGCTGCTCTGGAGAGGCAACCCAAGAAGAGAAATGTCTCAGAAAGAACGAAAAAGTTTCCGACCCCAGTGATGTCAAGATGCAGAAAGAGAAGTCATCCTCTGCCAAGGCACCCAAAGCAGGAGCAGGGTCGCATCTCTCAGCAGTATTTCTTTAGGTCCAGACTTACGACTTCATCCTTTTAGGGAGGGGGTCATTTTTCATTTCTTGGCACGAATCTACAGAGCCAGGGAAGGGGCACATATAAGAGACAGAGACGCCAAGCAAGGCTATGGCTCTTCCTCCTGGGGAGCCTCTCGAGGCCGGGGGTGAGGGACGCATAGGGACGGCCTGAATGTCTGCAGTGCCAGAGAGAGGGATGGCAAGGAGCTGTGACAGAAGTGAGTATGAACACGTTAAATACAACTTCCGGATCCTCGGTGGCTGTTTTTCACTTCTAGGGTGTGTTACTTAACGATATCAATTCACAGGTCCCTGTTTGCCTCAGAAGTGTATCCCTGAGTGCCCTGAACAGAAACAGTGGTTCACAGTTAGTATTTATTGCTGTTTATCTAGAGACAGCTGCTAGCTTTATAAAGTAACAGTACATTGATCTACAAAAGCTTATTTCTGCAAAGGAAAGTGACAGAAACATTCCCAGCCCAGAGCCTGAACTGCTGAGTTTGCAAACATGGTGTGGGGCAATTCATCCCGTCCCTTTGACCCAGATGAAATGACCGAGGTCTGAGTCCAGGTCGGACACCAATGAGCAGTCCCAGGTCTGCTTCCCAGGACTATAACGTCAGGCTGCACCACTCCTGCTCATTCTGGAAGATGCTCCAAAAAAGTAGAGGCACACTTGTGAGCTCGTGTGGCAGAATGACATCACCCAGGCTCCAGGCAAAGGGGAAGACACTGCCATTCCTCCTTTATTTGGTGTGAACCCCAGACACCAGAGTGTCTCAGCTCCACCCAATGTCAGTAAAGGACTTCCTGGCCCAAGTAGACGGGGCACTACAGGTGAGCATGCCCAGGCCTGAGTCACGGAGACTGGTCATGCCTCTTCCTAGACCCTGAGCCCCAACGGCCTCACTCCCCTCTGTCCACCCTGCACCTAGCATTTCTGATGCACGAGAGTCTGCTCAGCCACAGAAGAACGCACATTGCTCCTGGAGAGGCGGCGGTCAGCGCCCGTCCCCTGCCAGGTCCCGAGCCATGAGGGGCAACACTGGGCTGCCAGCTGTGCGCTGGGGCAGAGGAGACCCAGGCTCCCACCCTGGGCCGGTTTTGCCTGACGACTCAGCGTGATGATGACTAGCTGTCAAGGTGCAGCAGGTAGTCATGGATTGTAGGGTAGGAGAAGTATGACTTCTGTAGTTATTCTGTAATTTTAAAAAATGGAAAAGATAAGTAGGTGTTTTTAAGACAAAATCCTGTGAACAGATCAATGTTTGCAATCCTCTAGAGAAAGGCCTCTGACAAGAAGTCTTCGAGGTCTGACAGAGAAGGGTGGGTTCTGTAGCTAACAGGAATGGCCAAGAGGAGACTCAAGGAGGGCGGCAGAAGAGTGCTTTGGCAGTGACTCTTCTCTAGTTAGTGTTAAAAAAAGGTAATAATATGCTTATGAAAAATTCAAAGAGTTTAGAAATGTAAATGCACCTGTGCTTTCCTGCACGGCCCTCCCCCCACGATCTGCACGTGGCTGAGCACAGTGGGTTCAATCCCTGCTCTATGACTTTCCCCTTCTTGCAGCTCCCCTCTGTGGGCGCCCAGCACGTGTCCCCTCAGGGGCTCCTCTCTCCCGCCTCTGTGGGTTCCCAGGACTCAGCCCTCAGCAGCTCCCTCATCCTCCTCTGCGGGCTCCCAGCGTGTGTCCCCTCAGGGGTTCCTTTGTCCCCCTTCTGCAGGTTCCCAGGACTCACCCTCCAGCGGCTCCCTCATCCTCCTCTGTGTGCTCCCAGGGCATGTCCCCTTGCTCTCTCCTTCCATTTAAGCTGCTGACCACCACCGTGTGCCTGCCTCATGCTACGCAGACAGCCTTGATGTCATGGAGGTGTGTGAGCTGTGTGAGGTGTGTGGAGCATGAGGTGCGTGAGGTATGAGGTATGCAGTGTGTGGTGTGTGAGGTATGAGGTGTGTGAGGTGTGTGTGTGTAGTGTGTGCTGTGTGAGGTATGAGGTGTGTGGTGTGTGAGCTTTGAGGTGTGTGGTAAGTTGTGTGTAGTGTGTGATGTGTGAGGTGTGTGAGGTATGTGAGGTGTATGAGGTGTGAGGTGTGTGAAGTATGAGGTGTGTGAGGTATGAGGTGTGTAGTGTGTGAGGAGTGTGGTGTGTCAGGTATGAGGTGTGTGGTTTGTGAGGTGTGTGGTGTGTGAGTTGTGTATAGTGTGTGGTGTGTGAGGTGTGTGAGGTGTATGAGGTATGAGGTGTGTGGTGTGTGAGGTATGTGAGGTGTATGAGGTATATGAGGTGTGTGGTGTGTGAGGAGTGTGGTGTGTGAGGTATGAGGTGTGTGGTGTGTGAGGTGTGTGGTGTATGAGTTGTGTGTAGTGTGAGGTGTGTGAGGTGTATGAGGTATGAGGTATGTGGTGTGTGAGGTATGTGAGGTGTATGAGGTATGAGGTGTGTGGTGTGTGAAGAGTGTGGTGTGTGAGGTATGAGGTGTGTGGTGTGTGAGGTGTGTGGTGTGTGAGTTGTGTGTAGTGTGTGGTGTGTGAGGTGTGTGAGGAGTATGAGGTATGAGGTGTGTGGTGTGTGAGGAGTGTGGTGTGTGAGGTATGAGGTGTGTGGTGTGTGAGGTGTGTGGTGTGTGAAGTGTCTGGTGTATGAGGTGTGTGGTGTGTGAAGTGTGTGGTGTGTGAGCTGGATGAGGGAGCCGCCTGGGGAGTCAATTCTCCAGCCCCAGTCAAGCCTGTGGCTGATGCAGCTCCCCCCGACTTCTTGATTGCTCCTCATGAGAGGCCCTGGGTCAGAACCACCGTGCTAAGCTGCTCCAGAACTCCAGACCCACAGAAATGGTGAGACAACAAATCGTTGTTGCTTTAAGCCACAAAGTTTGGCATAGTTGGTTATGCAGCCGCAGGTAACTAATACGCAGGTATTAAGCAAAGTTAGCAGCACTCTTACTGAAGGCTCCTTGTGAGGAATAGTGCACTGAGGTTGGCATACTGAAACACCTTGAGGGTTTAGTTTTAATTTGGAAATTTCAAAATGGGTTTCTCACTGAGTATCTTAGCATGAGCTCCTTTCTGAAAGCAACTGCGATACTGAAATAACAGTGGTTTTCAAAGTGAAGATGCTGCTTGGAGATGAATGGGGAGGGGTCAGGAGGGAAAACAGAAGCAACAGCTCTGAGCTGGGAGACGATTCTGGTCTCAGGCTGCTCCGAGTCAGGGGGAGGGTGTGACTAGAGTGGAGAGGCTGCGTCTTAGCCACCACCGTGGGGACTGGTCCTGAGACGGGTGGTCGCACTCCAGCAGTGCAGACAACCATCAACACCCTGGACAGCAGGGGAGGGAAGGGAAGGGAAATGGTCCAAAATTCAAACTTGGCTGTGTTC